TCCCAACTAAACGACCAATCATTTGTGCCGATACGTAAGGGGAGGGTCGGACTCAGAGTTGGGGGAAGACAAAGAGGTGAACCCGGAGGAGCGCTCTAGCAAGAAGGGAAGATGGCGCGTAGGTGCAGAGCGGGAAGCGGGTTTACGCGGAATGCAAAAATTCAGTAATGGCCGTATGTGCCTCACACGCAGGGAATTTGAATGCCGACAACAATAATTCCTAACTGTTTTATGGATTTCTCCGTGCGGTCGCTAACCGTCCGCGCGGAAAACCCACAAGGACCGGGGCAATTGAAAAATGGACCCTGCTTTTCTTGATCTACTAAGATCCGGGCTTCAGGGCTTACTTTGGATTTTACAATGAAGGGTACGTGAAGCAGCTAGCTACGGATCCTGGCTTATCACAGGCTTCAGTGAGTCCAGTCCATTGGTGGTGATCGTCGCCTGTTGGAAACCAGTGTCCCTTACCACATTCAACCTAGATGCAATAAGATGATGATTGCCCTACTGAGCCATAGTCAAGCTGGGGCTGCTGCCAGTAGCCGCGCCTGTGATAAGCCAGGATCCGTACTCGGCGGCTTCCCGTACCCTTAAGGGAAAATCCCACTTAAGAACCCGAAGTACGGATTCAAGATAATACGGAAGAACGGGGCTTCATTTCTTTTTCATTTTCTTTCTTTTTCTTCTTTTACGAAAAGAGGGACGGAGTAGAAAACTTAATTCGGGTCTCGCGTGGCCACTTAGCGGCCGCGCCAAGAAATTCAAGAAACAGTTGGGAATTAGCGGGAGTAGGAATTTTGAATTTTTGCACGCAAGGCTGTTTTTCGAATTTTTGTGCGCTGCGTAAACCCTATGTGTCCCCCTAGGCCGCGGCCGCCTCTGACTTGGCCGTGGCCGAGGAGAGCAGCCACGGGCCTGCGGCCTAGGCCGCGCGGCCGACTTTTTTTGCGGCTGAGCCACAGCCAGGCGGCGCACTCGCGCGAAAAAATGACGCGCGCGCGCGGCTTGCACACGTCGGCCGCTATCTGCCTGTGCAAAAAAAAAAATAAAAAAAAAATCAAAAATTTGGGGGGGGGGGGTGACGTGTGAAACAAAAAATAAAAAAAAATAGAAAAATAAATAAATATCGATTGATTGATTTTTTTTTTTTGACTGATTGATTGATTGATTG